TCTGCCAGGATCATCATGGTCTATGTAGGGCCAAGGCTTCAGTCCCCAAGCCGAAAATATAGGAAGACCTATCCCCAGAGCCGGATCTCCACCTAAGACGCTTTTTCTTGCTTCTCGGTAGAATTTATACAAACTTTTCAGGGTGGGGCAAGAATGGTTCTCATTGGTTCTTAACGTCACCATATTACTTTACAATAACTGTAACACCCTAAGAGGAACCAGTTACTTAGCCCGTTACTAGTTTTTACTCTGAGCCTTCTCTCGAGTCAGGTATAGGGTCGGTCCTTAATTTACCTGCTTTCTACCTTTGACGCCGTTTCTGATGTCAGAAGTCGATTGCGTTTACTTTTGTTTTCTACACTAAATAATTTTTTTTTTGTTTATTCAATGGAATTTACAACTGTATACAAATACAACTAGTAAATATGCGCAAATATAAATAATGGCATGTACAGGCTTGAAGAGTTACTACCCAGTGGTAGCACTCTCTAAATAATTTTAAGTAAGAAGATCACGAGACCATCTCCTTTTCAGAGGCCTAGGAGGATTATCAGGAATCGAGGGAGAAGCAAGAGTGGAAACAATCGGATTTGGATGGGACTGAAGTTTATCATGAAAGGATGGATATCTGGCTCGAGGTAAATCAGCGACAGATGGTATATTAAGGTTTTTATGAATGGTTTTATTTGTGACAAAGTATGGAGCATTAAGGATTTTACGGAGGATTTTGGATTGTAAGGATTGGATACGATAGGAATTCAATGGTTTGGTGGAGCCCCAAAGCTCAACTCCGTATGTACATATAGGTCTTATTATAGTTATGTAGATACGTCTTTTGTAATTAATAGAAAGTTTGGAGCGTTTGTCTAGTAAGTGTTGGAGCAGTCGGAAACGCACTAAATAATTAATTTAAAACCTTATGTTCAATACATTGCAAATAGTTATCTAGAATGTGCCGATTGGACATAAGACCCATTACCAAGACTCAGGGAGCAATAACAGATTTCATCAATGGGTCTCTTTCTCACAGGCTTCATATCAATTCATCTTTCCCACGATTCTTTCACTCCCCCCCCCCACTATTCATGGGTAGGATCCCCCTGTTCCTCAGAACAAATCATTATTGAAGTCACACTCTTGTAGGAAGGAGACCTGGAGTGAACTCTTGTAGTCTACCTATATATTCATAGTATTACTCTGTATTTTAAGATGGCATTTGTAACAGACATTATGAATAAAAATATTACTTATAAAGTCTTGACTGCCTCCGATTCGTTAACTGAACGATACAATCGATTTCTTGCCAAGTTACAAGGACACCCCAACATACTCATAAATGACATGGCCACATCACACAGGTCAGGTGACGTTCTTGGAATATTCAAGAGGAGCTGGATGAGAGATCTCCTCGGCTAACTATTAATGTAGATATCACACCAGCAGGAGGTGCCGCTGGGTACTGCCCCTCCCCCTCCCATCATATCTCTCATGCCATTATATTTTGTAATGAACATCTAATTCACTGAATATAATTACTATTATGAGAGATGTAAATTAAAAAAAAAAGTAAATGTTAAAAAAAAAACCTAAACAACATAGGTAAGTCAAGGCTTTCGGATGTAGTATGGATGCTCAGGGACATTTTGAAACCTGCCGGCGTCTTGAAGTTGCGAAATGGAACTAGAACTATCTGATTTTATACGTAAATTTAAGTATCGATTATTTTTCCTACGCAATCTATCAGAGTGGCTGTGACAATCGATTTATTTTTCGATTTACCTGTTCATCCAAGGCGTCCTTTCCTTCCGAACATTACTGTCCTTCGGAGGCGACGAAGAGGACATGGGGCGACCTCCATTCTTTTCACGAGATCTGTCGTCCCCCAAACCATCCCTTTTCTTGTAGCGAGTAGCATCTTTGTATAAATAGCCAGTACAGGATTCCATTTATGTGTTGTTATGAACTAAAAGACTTACGAATAGTCTAGTTAACAAAACATCTGTTTTAAATTATATATTATAATCGTATCTATGTTTATAATAAGTTAGTATCATTCCATTCTCCGAATCTCAGACGCGATGAATTTTGACAAACGAGGTGTCAAAAGAAAGAAAATTTAAGGAAAAAATGTTATACATTCTTAATAACGTAATTTGGCGTAATGTGCTAAACTTTGAATTTTTGAAACTGATTACAGGTTAGCGGTTACCAAATAATAACATGTTCCAGTAAGGTTATTTTAATAAACTCTATGTTCACTATGTCAAAATGCATATTAAGAGGGTGTATAAAAAAAATTAGTTTTAAAAAATTCAAGATTTCAAAGGACTGTAAATATTTTAATCCTATTTAATACTTACAAATACTTATTAATTGCTTTAGAGCAATCTTTAATATTGTTTAATCACATTCGACTTTTTCAAAAAAAGCCTCAGTTTAGGTATTTGTTTCAAAGAATAAACACGACAGTTTCATTACTGGAAAAAAATTAACAGCCGCTAAAGCAACCCGTGAAATTATTAAATATGAAGGGAAAAGTGTCCTTGACCAGCGTACTACGCGGTGTTATTTTGAAAAATTTAGATTAAGATGCGACGTTGGAAATGAAGAAGGGCTCCAGGCAACCATTAATGGATATTGATGTGGTTTTGCAGGAAGCTTGTATATAACCTACGGGAAGTTAATATTAAATAATTAGTTTTGGCGGGACTAGGCGCATAGCCTTCCGCTTTTATATCGGGGTTTTAGGTTATTTACACTCGTGAATCATTAAAACAAAACCCCGGCACTGGATATCGACTTTTGAGGGTGTTTAACTGTGATTGGAAATTCGGGGATCTATTACCTTTTATGACATTGTGTGAGAAGAAACAATAAGAATACATATATGAAATGTGGGACTTAGTAAACACTTTGAATTGACTCACCTGGTTTATTCTTCAATCGTGAGGGCTATAGGACAACTAAATAAAAGGACTATTCACTCCGGTATAATAAAACAATTTATTTTGACAATTGATCATAAATGAATATATATAAGTGAACGGTCGGCTTGATAATCTTTGTCTTCAATGTAGTAAGCCTCTCTTCCCAGATGACGTCTTCTTGTGTTGGTGTCCAGGCCTTAAGTGTTTGGCGTCGTCCTCGCCATCTGTTGCCAGCTACCTGATCGGACCTTTTCTTCTTTTCGATTCTTTATCGATGTGAGATTTTCCAATGAGCAATTTGTCCACTGCACAATTGAGTACAATTCACAGTGCAACCTCACATTCCTATATATTATATATACCTTCTCATTCCCTCACACATTATCATCTAAAGGGGTAAATACAGGGGGATGTCTACTACAAGCTGTTTAGCCAAATCCGTCCTCGAATACTCGCGAACTTGCCAAGGAGTGTTTTGTGACGAAAGATTCTGTTCAGTCACCATCTAATGGTCCTTCACGAACTTATTCCTCAGCGATAAGCTAAAAGAGGTTAGAAATTTGTGAAAATTTATTGAAAAACCCATCTGATATAAGACTCCTGCTTCATCCAACATATAGTCTAGACCTCGCACCATCGGATTACTACTTATTTAGATCCATTCCCATTTTCTTTAAGAGAAAAAAATTGATAATTATAAGGAAGTTGAATTGTGGTGCAAGAGTTCTTTGACAGCCATCCCAAAGAATGGTATCAACATCGAGCAATTGCTATCAGATGGCAGATAGCAGTGGACTATAGTTTGAGTATTAATTGTATTTTATATGACAAAAAATAATAATACAAATATTTGGTTGGAAAACGGGTTTATATATATATATATATATATATATATATATACCCTATTTATAACTTTTTTCAAGATAATATAAATCATTAATTTTACTAATGGTATCCCTGCTAAAATCTTGAAAGTCGACGATCGAGCATTTGTCCGAATTATCGAGCCTCTCTTATAGAAGATATGGCAGGAGGAAAATTTATCGACTGAGTGGAAAATTGATCGAGAAGATTCCAAAGAAAGGAGAGAATTCTGAGTGTACGAATCACACTTCTTTCTGTCGTGAGAAAAATGCTGAACCGAATAATTCTCAAAGATTTAAACACGTTCTGGAGGCTCGAATGAGAAAGAATAATGAGTGGTTTGCCACTTTGAGTCGCTTTGGTTCACTATAGACGGCGGTTATCGATTTCGGAAATTTATATTGAGAATCCTCGAAAGTTAGCCATTCCTGAAAATAAAATAAATCTTCTTCTTTTCTTTTTGCTGGGAAGTTGTTTATGTTATTTTCTGTTTTGGGGAGTAATAACTTGCAATTAACAACAATTGATTTATTTGTTGTATTTCGAAGTTTACATGTTTACGTTTCGAGAAAATTTATTCCCATCTTCAGAACTACAATCCCATGTTTCTTTGTTTATTCATGTCTTAAGTGTAAGCAGACACCCAATAATTGGTCTTTAGGCATGATGATGCTCTGGATATTAAATACTATAATTTGTTAAAACATGAATTTAGAACCTGACAATGGAGCAGATTAGACTTAAGACATAAATCGACAAAGAAACATGGGATTGTATTTCTGAAGATGGGAATACATTTTCCCGAAAAGTAAACTTGGAAATACAACAAATAAATCAATTCTTGGTAATTGGAAGTTATTATTGCCAAAAACAGAGAATAATAAATCTTATTAGGAGCATAACATCAGTCGTTGTTCAGTCCATGCTTTACTTCTCTAGAGAATAAGGATAAATAACTATATTAAGACAAAGCTAAAGATAAGGAGCGGAACGAATATCGAATTAAACGATTGTTCTCGAACCTTGGTGGTCACATACGATTATTGTCGTCATATCATCTGATAAGAATCATTTGGGCCTTTTCGCCACTTTTACACATTTAGGATCATTCATAATGAATGTCCCCTCCAATTTTCTTCAAGTGCTTTCATCGATCAGCTGATTCGAGAACAATACGTTCTCATTTCTTTTTGCTGCCGAACAGAGAGGATGGAACATTCGATAGATCGCACGACCTCTTGCTGGAGATATTTCGGTCATTTCCCTTTCGTCAAGAACGGCGGCCGCTACAGTTCCTCGTGCGGCCACTTCGCGCTGCTTTTGCTCGTCGCGTTGGCCAGCTGCCTCTGTTCTCTTTGTTACTACGTTTTCGAGGATTTTTCAAATTTTCCTCCCGCTCAATATTCCAATTTGATCCTAGGCTTGTTCCTCAGAGACCTGTTAACGCTCTATTCTTGCTTCGTATTCTGCTTCAGGTCAGCCGAACTGAAGCACTTGATGGAGGGCATTGAAGAAGTTGGCAACATGATCAGCGCCGAGGAAGCGGGTCTCGCCAAACGATTCCGACCAAGGTGGAGGTACATCGGCCACTTGGCGTACGTCTCGATCTCTCTGGCGTACGAGATGATCGTCAACACGTCCCGATGGTCTCTTATAATGACCTATTACGTCGGCAGGATGTTCTGGACACTACGCGTACTCCAGCTGATGGATATGTTGCACTTCTTCAGCATGTGCTTCCTACAGCTGGAGCGGATGGTCTCCCATAGTCGTACCGTTTCAGAACTCCACTGCCTTATCGATTGCTACGAGAAGTTGTGCAACCTCATGTCCACTTTCCATGAACTCTTCGGGTTGAGCCTTCTTCTCATTTTCAGCCACCTCTTTGTATTCATCGTGTCCTACATATGTATGGCCGTCGGGTATCAGTTCTTCACTACCATTAACTGGGAGATCAATGTATTTACATTTCTAACGTTGCCAATATTCATACTTCAACTCGTTCGGCCATGTTCAAAGACGAGCGAATCGGTGAGTTCATAACAATTTTCATCACTTAACTCTATTTGAAATGTTTTATTTGTATTTATTTGAATTTTGTGATTCATTCACCTTTCATCTGGACTCCCCATTTTCACTTGAGTTTCATATAAATTTTCTGCAATAAAGTTGGAAAAAAAATTAATAAGTACAAGTATAAATATATTCCTCCGATGTATACAAATTGTAATATACCCAATTGTTTTGTTCAGATATTTTCAAGTATATCAAAAAGCGTATAAAAAATCTGAGAACTATCTTAACATTTATTTTTAATATCCAATATTATATTTCTTCGTTTCACAGTAATTATATTGATTTTGTACAGTAATATGAACTACCGCGATTATCTCTCTATTTTTTACTTTCGTATCTATACTAGGTAAGGGTCAAATTTCCGATTTGCAGTTTTTGACGGTTCTTTCAGACGTTTCAGAACCCTCTCAGTCCGAAAAAACACATTTTTAGCCATTGGTCGGTGTCTGTCTGTCTGTGCCAAGATTTTCTTGGGAACTACTAAGTTTTCTTGAAAGGTAATGAAATTCCCTACAAAACTGTATAAAAATTGTTCATTTCGGACAACTATTAACGAAGTTGTCCAGCTTTTCAATTCGCAATGTAAGGGTTCATATCTTGGTGCCAGAAAGGGATGAATGAGAGAAAAAAGATAATGCCCGCATCACACATAATCAAAATGAAAATTATAACTTAGAATGAAGACTCTTTGATGAAAATTTATTGAAGACTTATTTTTTAAATTAAATGCCTGCCAGAGAAAATTTAATGATAATTTAAATTATTACTGAATTTCTTTTTCATGTTTTGTACCAAGTACATACAAAGCATATTTCTTTCTTGATTCCTCTAAGTGCAAAATGGAGATGAAACAACATATATGTTTCTTAATGTACAACTCAATAACATGCAAACGATTTTTTTTATCGCTCCATAATTTTACTACTTTCACTTTAGTTGAAGTATGACAATCAATCAGAAAAATGTTTCTGAGATCTTAATTTATCCAAATAGATAAATTGAAAAAATAAGTTCTTTCGTAGTGAATGTCTTCCAGATATTAGGGATGAGTAAAACTCGATATGAATTAGACCATTTAATTTTCATACCGTATGAAAACCAAGTAATCTATCAAAATAGAGATACATTAAATAAATTAAGACGTTATGTGTTGCAGGCTGCAGACTTCACTGCATCGTTGTATCATATTATGCAAGAAGATGGCACGACATTAATTTCAGGAGACGTATGTATTTATGTCTTATAATAAAAAGTTAAAAAAGCAATGTAGACTTCCCTTTTTTATGTAGCTGAACATTTTTAGGCATTTGGTTTTTGTTAATAATGATATTTTTTGAGCGAATAGATATGAAAATATGAAACTGTATCCAGAAAATAAATTATATATCACTGATATTTGATCTAAAGGCATTAAATCATTATGATAATTATTCAGTAATCAATTCATTAATCCTTTCAGTTAATACACCATTTTTAGGATAATTTCGTCCATTTATTTAACAATTTAATTTGAAAATTTATACCACAAACATTATTAGTGTATTAGCCATTGCAGTTAATCAATTTATTTTAACATGAATGTGTTTAATTTTTCCCTACATTCATTAGCAAAAAAATTAAAAAATAGTTTCTGATTATTAACATTAATGTGTGTAACTGGCTTTAGGACCAGTGACGCGGTTACGTGAGTAGCACAGGGATACCTTGGGATCCTGCTTTTCCTTCTATAGTTGGAGGGAGAAGCCTGGCTTGGGGTTTTATATATTATATATAGCTATGACTTTATTTTTAATTTACTTATCTTTAGGTTATTTTATTTTTGATTGTACATAGTTCTTGATTATTATTTTACTTTTGTTAATTTTATATTTTCTGTATATATGGTGTGAATGTGTTCATATATCACTATAATTATCGTCCCCTACTATATTTCTAAATAAATAAATAAAAAAATGTGTGTAAAAATCTCACCGAATTGTTGCACTATATTTTTTTATTTTATTATTTTTTTTTTTGTCCTTCCCTTCCTCGCCGTTAAGGCTATCCGGGATTTTCCCGGGCCAGGGGGTTTGAGCGGGGATTTAAAATACTCCCCCGGCACCGGGACGCGAACTCGTGTTTATTTTTATATCTTTGATTCATTTATCAGGTTGCCAGGCAACGGCAGTGCAGTGCACACGCGTTAGCCCATTCGGCCACCCAGCCCACAACACTATTTATATATCATTTTCAAATATATATGTACTAAAAAATAAAATTATGTTCTTATTTTATTGATAAAATAAATCTTAACAAATTAGTATTTTTCCTCTAATTTCGATAATAGCTGAATAAGGGAGAAGGGGAATACGAAATCTCAAACATTTTTTTAAAAATAACAAATGGTAGAGTAAATACTGCAGTAGCTGACATGCATAAGATAATTTCTTTGAATGTTGATGTAAATACTTTAATATTGATGTTATTATATTTTCCTTGGATTGTATCTACTTCTTACCTTGCCAACATCCATCCGAATTTTGAAAAAATTGTAAATTTAGAGAATAGTTTTGTTGCACGAATAGCTTTTTGGACACTGTTTGGTCTGGAATATTCCTCTATTCAACAGGATGAAAACAAAGGTGTTATAATGGGAAATAAATAATTGAAATTTTATATTATTCTATTTAATATTAACAAAAATCACGTTTAATTTGTTTTTCGTTTTCAGACTTAAATTTATTGCTAAATACTGGACACTGTCAAGAACCTGGTTCTGACAATAGTAAAACCTATTATTGTTTTGTATTTAATCCACACTGCTAACATTTTTTTTATTTTAACATTAGTAGTGAGTTGTTCAACTTTTAAGATCTGTTATATAAAATTTATCCCCTTTTGAAGTTCTGCTAGTATTTAGTATTGCTAGTATGTAGTATTGAGGCCTGTTAGCAAAAAATAAAACAAAAATCTTGCGAAAAATCTGAGTTGTAAAGGAGAAAAGACAAATCTGCCCCCTTAACGATAATTGGTTGTTCCTGGGACTCTAAGTGGACCCTGAGAGACTTTTATAATTTGCCATTCGTTATTTCAATTAATATTTCCGGCAGGACGAAAGCATAGCAGATAGTGTTACCCAAATGCGATACCAAGAGGAGTCTTGATCTTGCAAATTCAGTCTTGGTCTTGCAGTTACTTATTAGCTTCTTACTATAGAGATATTACTGTAATTAATTTAGATACGAGAAACCTAACTAAGCCCGAATGAAAAATTAGAAGAGTTAAATGCAAAAGTATATTCGTTATAACAATTCTTAACATATAATAACTAAGATTGTCAAGGATTAGTAACTATTTTGTCTTTTTTTAATTTAATTTTTATTCAAAAAATCGATTTTTTTTTAACAGTCCTGGTCTTGGTCTTGCAACAGTTAGGCATTCTTGGTCTTGGTACGACCGATTTTGGGCAACACTAATAGCAGATAAACATACAAGGAGCAAATACAGAAACCATAAATTTATGGTATATAGATCAAGGAGGTCCTGAATTCTTATTATTTCCATTTTTCTGGTTGAATACCAGGTACAGGTACATGTACACTGTCAGCTGCTGCTGTTTTTACATTAATATTGAGTTCATGAGAGGATCAAATTGGGCTCATTTCTGAGGTGGATTGAAAATATCTAAAATTTGACACGGTAGTATAACAAGAAAGATTACTTTTGATTTCCATTTAATTATTAAAAATAATAAACCAAATATAACTACTAATTTTTATGTTTTAATTAAACATACATTTTCAAGTGATTTAGTTTAATGTATGCTTTATAACTTTATTGTTTATTTATTTTTTAACAAATTGTAATTACTAGCCTGGCACGTCTGAACTAAATAAATAAGAAATAATCTTAGAAAATTGGAGAAAACAAAAAATATTCTCTGTTACAGAACAAACTCCGCCTTCACATCAAGATGCAGAGAGAAGTAACATTTACAGCTTTTGGATTTTTTAACGTGGACTACACTTTGATATATTCCGTAAGTTGTACGATTATTATTATTAATATGTTTTTCATTTTAATATGTTTACCCGTAATATATAACAATAATTTTTTTATGAATACTAGGGGAGTACCTCTACCCTAGAGGGGTAAACCTAGCTACGGGCCAACCCTCATTTTAGAAATTATGCAACTGTTCATTTAATTGTACTACCCGTTGCTCAAATTGTATAACTGTAATTAACATGAATTCTGTAGTTAAGGATTGTATTATTTTTTTTATCAACATAATATAAACTGAACGAAACCACAGTTGTTTACTAACACAAAATAAACAAAAAAGTTCATATTAACATACATCTCAAACTCAATTATTAAACAGATATCAAAGGTTAAAGATTTATTATCTATTTACTACATTAATACTGTACAAAGTTTAACGTGTTTAATACTAAATAACAGGTTTTGATCACCTAATAAACAAATGAACGATAAGCAATGACAGTAGTTACCAGTGTTACCGCGCGCTCTGTGACAAAACCTCGTACTCAAGCCTCGTACATCCTCGTACGCTTGCTCATTCATAACTTCCACTGTTATAATGCCAGTATTATTGTTTTTTTTATAGTAAAATTAGATCAGAATTTTTATTTTTGCCTCCATTCATATATTTTAAAGCCTTTTTACATTACTTTTTTTTTAAGTTAATGGGTCAAGAAGTAAAATTAGCTTAATAAAATATATAAAAAAGTTTATATATTTTTATAAATTACTGAAAACGTTATATAAAAATTAAAATAGCTAAATAAACTTCTTAAAGTACTCTTCATAAGTATTCATTACTAGATCCAAGATTTAATTTGGGGGAAAGACTAATTTTTTTTCTTTTTTCTAAAAACAAAACACATACTTTTATGAAAGGATGTTAGTGGTTCTAGAAGGCCAATAAAAATTAATTATTGGGGCATTAATGGTTTTAGAGATAT